CTCTGAATCCTAAACCCTAAACCCGAAACTGCCCTACAGCCCACGTGCCCTTTTTTTTAACGCCCTTTGTCTCAGGCCCCTGCTTCGGCAACAACGCGGGATCTGGTGGAAATCTGAATGCTGCAGTTTATGAAAGGCCGGCAGGGTTTTTGTAAAAAAGCTACCTGGGCAGTTTCTTTCAACACTCACTAAAGTACGTTTGGATCCGGAATTTCTACCCCGCAAGCCCTCAAAAATCTTGTATTTGCCGTCCATGTCGGGTTTGTTTCTTGCGATCTGTTTTGAGTGCATCGATGCGGCCTTTGCAGAAACCCAGACGAAAACGCTATACTCTCAGAATCCCTATGCAGAACTGTTGATATGAAGCCTTCCCATTGTGTGATACAACCCTTTGAAACCGGTGCCAAGTTCTTTGTAAGACCTGACACAGAGCCCACAAAGACCAAGTTAGACTTAGCCCTTATGAACCCTGCACTGCCCTTCTAAATACGCCTTGTGGAGCCCCAAAAACCCATTTAACACCCCCCCTTAGAGGGACCAGCAAGGACGTTATACGTGTTGCTCTAAATACCCTCCTTGGGGCTTGAATGCTTATAACCATGGGTAAAACTTTACTAAGCCCCCTGATCATTTAAGCAAAACGTGAGCCCTTCTCATAGACCCCTTACACACCCTATAAAACCTTGCTTGCTGAGTCTCCCGATCCTCTAAGTACCCTCATAAACCCCGAACGCCCTTAGAAACACCCAAAACCCGAAACCCGAAAAGAAACCCGACCAAAATCCCTAAACCCTAAACCCTAAACCCAAAATGGGACCGGCAGGCTAGCCTCGGCTACAGGCGGTGCCGGAGGCCAGGCTTCAGGCGCGTTGAGGGCTTTTTTGTGTTTTTTTTGTTCTTTGTAAAACTGGGTTCAGGGCGTTTTAGGTGTTTTTTTTTGGTTTGTTTAAAACTGGGTTTAGGGGGTTTCATTGGGTTTCAGTGGTTTGTTTGAATGGGTTCTAGTTGGCTTTTGAAGGGGTCTATTGTTGATGGGGTTTGGGGCGGTTGAGTTTAAGGTGTTTGGGTTTAGGGCACTCAGGGTTTAGTCTTTTGGGAGCATGCAACAGAGACAGAAGTAATCTAAGCTTGCAGCGGATGTTGTTTTTCGCCAGGAGGCTTTGAAGACTACGCGTACGCTGGCCAAGGTGCGGGTGTGTTGACAGTACCCAGAGAGCCCAATACCCCTTAAATATGGAATATACCTTAAACTATCGGGGCCTTATTATTATGATTTACGGTATATTCCTTAATTAAGGGGTATTGGGCTCTCTGGGTAGATATAGTCAGTGCGGTGGCGGTGCACTGACCTTGACTCGGGTGCATGTGGGAGTTTCCGAAAATAAGGGGTGCCCTATTTGGGGGTCCTTATAATAAGGATCCTACTATTTAAGGTACTATATAGGGGTCCCCTATTTTGGGAAAACCCCCATGTTTCTGCACTCTGAGAGCCGATGCTTGCAGGATCAAACAACCTTGCGGCAGCTCGAGCTGCTGGTTGCTTTTCAAACTTGGCAGGCGGATGCAAGTGCATGCAAGTGCCACTGCCATGGCTAAGCAGGGCATTGCCAAGAGTTGACACCGAAAGCGTCGCAAGAGCAACGACATCTTCTTGGAACTTGCATAGAAAGCGCCTACTCCGGACAAGCATGCCGCAAAATCGTGTGATGCTGAAACCCAGGCCCGGTGTCATATTCCACCGTGCAAATCATTGAAGTCTTGTTTATGTCGTACATAGTTATGTGGTACATGTCGTCGCTGGCAGCACTACTGCCAACGCACTAGCTTGCTGGTGCGCAAGGAGATAGATGCGCATGCTTTGAAAACAGTGCCTGCATCTGCAGGTCCATGCCCAAACCATGGGTGAGTCGGGCGAGCCATTCTTTGTGCGGGATGCCATCAAGGGCACCTCCCCAAGAATTGTTTATGACAGATCGAGCGTATTTGACCGTATTTGGCCGTGCCTTCTTCTGAGACAGAAGACGGCTCGATGTTGACTGGCACACAAAGAACGAGTTGAAAGGCCTGGCCGGCAGATGGCTGTCTTGGGACTTTGCCTGCTGACACCACTTTGAAGCGAGAAACACAACGCTTGCATGGAGCTCAACCTAACAGGAGCTTCAGTACAACATCTCAAAGCTGTCATAAGGTGGTGTTGCAGCTGGGTCCGGATTGTCCGGCGGGCTGTGTGTTTGCAGTATTTCCCCACTCTTATTTCCTTCGTCTTATTGTATCAAGCGACTTCCGGCTTTGAGCAGTCGGAACCGCTGTTCCACGCAATCAGAGTTCAGACAATACCCTCGACGTTTTGCAGATGCGTGTTTGGCAGCATCGAGGGCTGCTGTGGCAACACTTTGGAGCTATGCAGCACTCCGGATGTCGTAAAGGTTTACTGGATTTCGTAGTGCTAGCGAGGCTGAGATGGATAGGCTGGACAGTGAATGGCTGTCGAGTCAGAGCGCTATAAGCATATGTCATACTAGCAGTTGGAAATACGCATCTCAGTTTGTTGAGCGCTTGGTTGGCAGGGATCACTTCTGTTCTGATTGCTGTTACGGTAGCTGACTAGTGACTAGTGTCTATTTGACTTATGGCTAGTGGAAAGGTGCAGACGTCACACAAGGATCTCAACGTGACATACCCCTAAACCACTGTAGAAACCATTCAGAGACCTTATTGGGAACCGCATGGTCCTACACACTTGAATCTACCATGGGTCTTCAACTGGTCCGTGAGAGGCACCGGGAGTGACTGCTAGTGCGTTCAGGATTGGAATGCTCCTACCACAGAGTTTTGATTTCCTATGATGAGCTCCCTACGGCCGCAGTTTTTCCAGACTTGCGGAGCCATGAACTCGCTAGGCAACCATTCCAGGCTGGCCGTTTGGAGCTGTGCGGAGCTTGAAGTATTCTGGTACTGCGCGAGGCAGGAAACATCCGATGAATTTGGTTCTGCGATCGAAAAGAAACTGACCTTGCTTGGTTCTTTGGGAGAGATACGGATAGTCCCAGAAATCTGCACTCCCGGGATCTCCCGAGCCGGCTCTCTGCGCTTTGAACACTCGAGCTGAAGACCATGATGCGCACGCGTCACGTGACAGTATTCGACTGAGCAGATTACGGCATTCCAGTCTGGGCCCAAGCAAACCTGGGCCGTTCGGACAGACATCAGTATGAATGCTCTTTGGCATTGAGCATGCAGGTTTCCATAGCGTGCCATGCAATGACCAGCCCAGCGAGGGCTGTTGCTACGACGCATCCGCCAACTCCGCTGAAACCAAGCTCTGGCCTTGCACTCAGCCCGGAGAGTCCCCGAGCTGCCTGCTTGCGTCGTGCGCGAGGCCCTGGGCCGAAGCTGGCGTGTGGGGGCGCGATGGCCCTAGGCTTGGCCCTGCTGCGGCGCAGCATCTCCAAACACCGGCGTGTTCCTGGGCCCCGATTCGTCGCGACCCGTGCATGGCAGCAGCCACTCTCCGGGAAGTTGCCCGAGCCACTTCGTGCCACAGACGGTCGCCCAGCATGAAGGGAGGGGATGGGAGGGGCAGGGCCGGGCAGGGTAGTCACATGAAATTGTGATGATCCGTCCCTTCTTTGCAGGTCGCAAGCCTGGCGCTGCGCCAGAGGACGTCTTCACGCTTGACACCATCACTCAACGCATGCCCAAGATCATCCAGTCAACCGTTGCAGCGATGCCGTCGGCACTGAAAACCAGCGACTTTGAGCAGAATGTCAAGGCGTTGCAGGATGAGATGAAGGAAGGAGCTCAGCTACGACTTCTAAGAGGTGACAGCCCACGGGTTGGAGCAGATAGATGGAACGAGCATCTTACGGAATTCATTGATCGTGGAGAAGGCTGGCATACTGCGCCCTGGTGGGTGGTGGAGAACTACATGTATAAACGGCTGCTTGAGGACTCCATGCCGCGTGTCTGCGTGCTCAGTGTCGCTCTCTGTGTCCGCTTGCATCTGTCTGCCTGGCTTGTTGACTGTCTCACGGTCTCATGGGAAGATTCTGTAGCTGTATCTTGGCTGAAGAATGGCCCCCATACAGAGTTGTGAATGTCCGGTTGCAATCATGCATACAATGTAATAGCAGCTCAATGGCACTATCTGTCACTATCTTCACAGAACAGTGTAAGCTGACGGTAAGTCAGATGATGGACCGCAACAAGCACAGTTTCTCGTCGATTTCCCAGCATCATGGAGCCAAGCCTTGCGATTCCAGGAAGAGGAGTCGAGCATCCGCGTTTGAAGCAGGTGCCGGGAAAGCTGCGCAGGGCTGTGTCGGATGGGACGCGCCCTGCAGCGTGGACTCCGAAGCCTAAATTGGCGTTTTTGGCAGCCGGCTGGCTGGCATGCCGTTGCTTCCAGAAGCCTCGACAAAGACCTTCCGTGACGAGGTGGAACCCTGCAATGGCGGCTTCCATGCCGGCCAAGCCAGCTAAGGCCAGCATAGCAGATCGGATCTTCGGGTTGTTTTCATGCACGAAGCGGGCCCTCCAGCTGGTTTGGCTGACCAGCCGTCCCTTGACCTTCGGCCTGGCCTTCCTGACGCTGGTCATGGGTGCTTTGCCTGGACTCCGAGCAGCTACAACCAAAAGGGTCATCGACGCCGTGGTCTCGGGCATCTCTTCGGGGAGCCACGCGGATGCGGTGCTGTGGCTTTCCGTGGAAGCCGCTTTGGTGGTGTCCCTGGCTGCCACTCGGAGAGCCCAGGAAGTGGCCGAGTCCTTCCTGGGCACTCTTTTGGGGCACCGGGTGAATCTGGGTTCTTCTTAAGGGTTTTAAACTTAAGTTACTATAGATCTACAGTAAATACTATATGGCCTCTTTATTCTTGTAACTTAACCTAAATCCCTTAACAAGAACCCAGGAATGTAATGATCCTGGAGAAAGCCCTGGAACTCCAGCTCACGGACTTCGAAGACTCGAAGCTCTACGACAAGCTGACACGGGCCCGCAGGGAAGCCAGTCGCCGTCCGCTGTCTTTGGCACAGCAGTCCTTGAGCCTTATTCGAAACGGCTTGGCCCTGGTTGGGTATGGTACGCTTCTGCTGAGATTCTCTCCCCTTGCTGTCGCCGTGCTGCTCCTGACGGCGGTGCCGCCTTTCATTGCCGGCGTGAAGTTCGCAGGAGACGCCTTTCAGCTGGCGCGCCGGCAAACATCGGGATTCCGTGAACAGATCCTGGGTTCTTGTTAAGGGATTTTTTTTATCTAAGTTGCCATAGCCAGGAAACCCCACGACTTATACTATAGATCCCTATTATGATAACTTAAAGACCCCTAAACCCTGAACCCTAAACCCCAAAGCCTAAACCCCTAAACCCCAATCCCTAAACCCCTAAACCCCTAAACCCCTAAACCCTAGACCCTAGTAACAAGATCCCAGGATCTACTTGGAGAGGGTCATGGCCATGGATACGCCGGCAAAGGAGGTGAAGCTCTTTGGCCTGGGCCCCTGGCTCTTGAGACGCTACTGCCAGATTCCGGGCTCTTCTTTAAGGAACAAATTTAGGGATCTATAGTAAGCAACTTAATAGGGATCTGTAGTAAATAGTACGGTTTCCTTGTTGTTTAAGCAACTTAAGTAATTAGATCCCTTAAGAAGAGCCCAGGATTTTTGATGGCTTCTTTCGAGACACCTCCAGCTTGGCCCTGAAGCAGGGAGGCTTTGGCTTCTTGTTGGAGCTTATCAGCACGGGAGGCCTATACATGGCCTTTGCCTGGGTTGCGATTGCGGCGGTGAGGCAGACGATCAGCCTGGGAGACATGACCATGTACCTGCTCATCTTCAAGGAAGGCCAGCAGGCCTTCTCGGCCATCTTACGATCCATAGGAGGCATGTACGCAGACAACCTCTATCTCTCCAATCTCTATGAGTTCTTGGATTACAAGGTCCAGAAGAGCGAAGGCACGAAGGAGTTGGGCCCGAATCCGGGAGATGGTGTGCGCTTCGAGGACGTCTGGTTTCGATACCCCGGCGCCACAGACGATACCATCAAAGGCGTGACGTTTCACATTCCCCCCGGGACCCGCTTTGCCCTGGTTGGGAACAACGGTGCAGGAAAGACGACGCTGATCAAACTTCTGACAGGCCTGTACCAGCCAAGCAAAGGCAAGATCCTGCTCGATGGATTGGACCTGAACGACTGGGCTCCGGACGCATTGAAAAAGCGAATAGGTGCCATCTTTCAGGACTTCATCCGCTATGAACTCACCGTCGGAGCAAACGTAGGTGTGGGAGACATCGACGCAGTCGACGAGGAGTCCCGTGTCGCCCGGGCAGCTGAACGTGGGATGGCAGCGCCCTTCATCGAAGACTGGCCTCAGAAATACCAGACACAGCTCGGGAACCTCTTCATGCGCGGTCGTGAGCTCAGTGGTGGGCAGTGGCAGAAAGTGGCCTTGAGTCGAGCACTCATGCGGGAAAGGGCTGACCTCTTAGTCCTAGATGAGCCAACTGCGGCGATGGATGCGGAGGCAGAAGCCGCGATTTTTGAGCGCTTGGCGTCGCTTTCAGCCGACCAAAGTGCCCTGCTCATCAGCCATCGATTTTCGACTGTTCGAATGGCCGACACCATTGCGGTCTTGAACAATGGTGTGATCGAGGAGTTTGGCAGTCACGAAGACCTCTTGGCGCTGGGAGGCACCTATGCCAGACTCTTCAACTTGCAAGCCAAAGGATACCAATAGCAGGTGTTTGTTGCGAGACAAGTTCTCTGGGCCGGCACGGATGCTCCAACAAGGCTGGTTGTACACACGGTCCTTACTGAATCATACTATCGGTATATCGACAGAAGAGGTGCCTGAAAGGAACCCAGAGTTGGGACAGCCCCTGAAGTAGCAAAGGCATGCTTCAGGAGGGCAGGCCAAAGAACTCGAAAAAGGCGTTGCCAAGCCTGCCTTTGGAAGATACGCCTCAGGGTGGTTTCCGGATTTAGTATTATTGGACCCATGAGCTCCAACCCCACCTTAACCACTGAACCCATTTGATTTGCGGCTTCGATTTTCTGTAGGACCATTCATAAGAAACTCAAAACACCCAGCCATAACCCCAAACCCCCTAGAGCCCGATGATACCTTAAGCCCGGCCTTCTTGGCCCCTCTCGCGCGAGGAGATGGACCGTTGCGGCTCAGAGGCTGCCTCTTATGACCCTTTTGAGGCCGTGAAACTGGAGGCACCAGCTCCACAGGTCCAGAGAGGTATAGACTCTCTCTCTCTCCCTTGTGTGCAGATGTATATGTACAAACAGACACGTATAAAATCTACAGAATATACACAGTCAGTGTATAAAAAATATCTATGCTTATTCCCTCCCTCCCTCCCTCCCTCCCTCCCTCCCTCCCTCCCTAACACTTGTATCAGAAAAACTGATCTTCAACCGTCACAATTCCTGGCACATCTACCTGCGGGTCCACTTTTTCTTTTCAGGCCTTGGAGCAATCCGCCGAGCCCCTGGAGTCTTCCTTGCAGCCACTGGTGAAGCTGACAGCAGAGGCCCAGAGCCTCCCCAGTAGTTGTCTAAGTTAGGGTCCCTTTTAGGGTTTCTTTAAAGGGGTTTAGGGGTTTAGGGGTGAAGTAACCAGAGCTCTGATTACTCAGAACTCTAGGCCCTAAGCCCAAAACCCTGAACCCTAAACCCCCACAAAAATCCCCTAACCCCCCAAAACCCTAAACCCCCAAACCCCTAAACCCTAAACCCTAAAACCCCTAAGCCCCTAAACCTCTAAAACCCCTAACCGTACCGTTTTTCCCCGAGGCCTCCTCCGAGGCGCCCGGGTCCAAGGCCCGGCGGGAGGCCTTGGAGGCCTCTTTGCTGCGGTCGCTCTGGGGGAACCAGGCGAGGGTAGGGCCCGGCCCGTTTTTGGGGGCTCCGAGGGGTTTAGGGTTTAGGGTGGTTTAGGGTTTAGGGGTTTAGGGTTTAGGGACCCTCTACGGCGCTCCGATACTTCTTCATGGGTAATTAGTTTATAAGATATGGTTAGAAGTCCCCTAATATGGGTGATTACTCTAGTGACTTTACTTGTAATCCCACTTACAGCTACCCATGAACCTCCAAGTAGGTCTGGTTTGGGGTCTAGGGCTTGTGGAGCTTCCAGGGCTCAAGGAGTTGGGGGGTCTTACTAGCAGGAGGTCTCCTGATAAGGGTGTTGCTGTCTTCTTCTTCGGCTTTTCTTGGGCCTGAAGAGGCGGACCTCTCGCTGAGCGCCGGCGAAGTCACCTCGGTGAGTGGAGGGCAGCTGGAGAACCTCGTGTCGGATCATCGCAGCGAGGCCCTCGACTTGCTGTTGGCCTCGAAAAAGGTGGTGGTTGTGATGGATAACTACGGACTGGAGGTCCTTTGCGATTTGGTCCTCGTGGATGCGATCCTCTCCCTAACCGACTCCGCGGTATCATTGCATGTGAAAGATGCCCCGGTCTTCGTGTCGGACGTGACAGACAAGGACGTTCCCAAGGTTCTGAAGTGGCTCGAGACTCGACTGCCGGAGTTGGCTGGGCGACTGAAGGTACACCTGGGAACGGGGCGGCTGAAGGCGGAAGCCCACAGCTACTACACAACGGCCCGGTCATTTTGGGAAGTACCGGCAGAGCTGCAGTCCGACTTCTCCGACGCAGCCGTCGTGTTGAAAGGGGATGCCAACTTCCGACGACTCTTGGGTGATCTCCACTGGCCGTACGACACCGACTTCGCCGAGTATGCCGGAAGCTTTTGGCAGGGATCAGGTCTGATCTGTCTGCGGACGATGAAGAGTGGCGTCGCTATTGGTATTCCAGACAGCGAGCAGCAACGGGCGCAGGAGGCTCGAAAGGACGACTGGTTGACTTCCGGCGTTTTCGGACAGGTGTTGACCTTCGACCGTGGTGCCGCCTAAGCCCTGAGCGCATCTCGATTTTCCTTTATTGCTTCACTGCTCCGAGGTCTTTGCTTCCTCGATAACCCCAAACAGAAAAGATGACGACAAGAGATGCCAGCAAGCCCAATGCAGCCTCTGACCACATCAAACAGTTCTGTTTTCAGCACGAAACCTCTTCGTCCTGCCGTTTGCAATGTTATCGAGAGTGCAGGGGCTGCCTTGAAGGATTCTGCGTTTAAGCGACAGCTCCAGGGGGGAACAGCCCGTCCTATGCTATACTCAGCAAATGCAAAGTGTCCTTGCTGCTAGAGTTGCTTAGTTGCAGCTGTGTTTCTGCCGCAGTACCTGGCCCTAGCTCTTGGGGAAGAAGCTTGGGCAATACCTGCTGCTTGAAGGGTCGCGGCTCTCGATGGACAGGACCCTGAGACCGATCACTCGTCTGCAGCACTCGGCCACTGCACTGGATCCCACCTTAAGTTTGTCAGATGCTTCGTTTTCCGTGTGCAGAGGATCACATGCAGTCTTTGTCTGTCATCGGCGGCAACCCCGTCAGTTGCACAAACAAAGCGCGGCTTGCACTTACACTATCGCCCGTGGCGTTTGCCCTGCTTTGGCCCGCACCCCAAACCTGGAGGACTGTGCCACTTGCTCCTAGGCCTTGCAAATGGCAAAAAAAAGCTGCAAGCCACTGTAAGGCCTGAAGCCTTAAGAGTTGCGAGTCTTCGCAGCATCTTGAAGGACAAAGATGCGCCTCCTCACGCTGGTGATCGTAGCGGTACGGCCCCCGCCTTGCACTGTGGCTGTGGCTCTAGGCGCTCATGCAAGGTTCCGGACTTGGCATCAAAGACTTGCATGTGGGGCTTGGCAGGGGCCGTCTTTAAAGGTCAAGACCAGGACTACAAGCATGCATGACTTCTTGCCTTTCTCTGCTCAAATTAATTGGCGTGTCAAGTGTAAGTAGAGGGCTTGTAGGGTGCGGGCCTGTCAGCCAATGATCATGCAGCTGCCCGGGACAAAAGCGCCCTGCACTGCTGGTTGGCAAGTTGCCCTCCTCATCCCCCTGTTGATGCAGACCTCACCGGCGCAGGTGAACATAGAGTTTGGAAGCTACACTTAGGCGCAAGAGCTGCAATGTGTCCTGCAGAGCGGAGATGCCGAAGATCCACTCATGGGCATTGAGCTGCTCACGCTCAGGAACGACCTGGCAGGGCTGCCTTTCTACCTAGCTAGAGGAAGGTTTCTCTCTGATGATGTTAATTTCAGCCGCATTGGCAGCTTCGAGTTTGAATTGATAAAGGCTGGGAGCATGGCAGTGAATCCAGTGACAAACGTGTTTGCAGTAATATCAGCAATGTCTCAGCAGACGCTGTCTCAGCGGACGTTGCATGTGTTGGACACAGAGACCGGGGCAGAAGTCCAGACTTTGGACGTCAGCAGATTTGGTTTTCTTGACAACCTTGAGTTCGACCTTAAAACTTAGAAGATGTATGGCCAGTACTGGGATGGGGAAAAGGAGCACTTCGTGGAAGTGGATTAATTATGAGCGAAACACTACGCGAAGCATTGCCACCATCAATCTTCGATACAAGCTGTCCGGGACTCGTGCAATTGACTACATCGCAGGCCGCTTCTACCTTGTCGCTGACAATCAGCAGCTTGTTGGCCTAAGCCTTGAAACAGGGGAGGAGGTTACTCGGAACACTTTGTCACGGTTTATCGGAAATGGTGGGATCTTCTTCGACGGGGCGACTCAAAAGCTACGTGCCCTCTGCAGAGCGTTCGATGATTCCTTCGACTTCGCTCTCTGCATCGTTGACCCCAGCACTGGAGAAGTATCAGCGACTTCTGATGATGCCGAGCGGATTCCTTGTATTGTCTTTTCCGGCAATGCCTACGACTCTGCAAACCAGGTTTATTTCTTTGAAGAGCCAGCCGGGCTTGTCGCGTTCAACGCAAACACTGGGAAGCGAATTGCAGGACCATTTACGTCCGCAAACACAGCGTCGCTAACTGTAGTCCCCAGGTGCGAGTGCTGTGTTGTTGCGGACAGGGACAATAGTTCCAACACTGTCGCGGACCTGGCCAATGGCTCAAACACTGGGCGGCAGCTTCAGTACAACACTGGCAGGTTCGCTGCATGTAATGCCAAAGTCTCAGGGACGAGCCGTCCTGAGCCGCAGAAGCTCGGCGCCCTTGCCGTGCTTACCACATTGGCACAAATGGCACTACTTGACCTATGCTAGTCGTTCGGGGCTGCGCGGGCTGAGAAACCACGCGTGCGAAGTTGTTACGTGGCTATGTCTGAAAACTCATCCCCGAAGAACCCTGATCGTTTTTGCTGTTGTTCTGTTCTTCCCAGCATTGTTGCGGGGAACACAAGGGACCAACATCTATTGGCATTCACCATATTCACAGCCATTGAAGTGGAAGGTGGCAGCACAAGAAGATGCACCCCCGGCAACTTCCGAGGCAGGTCTTGAAAAGTGCCGCAACTCTTAGACCCTATATCCTTGGGCCCCCCAACTGCCCCCCAATCGTCCTCAAGAGGCGAAGACAAGAAGGCCTATCATCTCGACGGATATTCTCCACGGCACTGCGGAGCTCTTCTACGACGTCTACGCCACTTGCGCTTTTTTGGGAAGTGGATCTCTGTAGCTTTTTTCCCCCTGCTGAGCTCTGGCCCAGCCTGGCTCTGAATCCTACAGTCCTATGCCTTGGACTCGTAGCCTCCCAGAGAGCCCAATACCCCTTAATTAAGGAATATACCTTAAATTATAGGGGCCTTCATATTATGATTTAAGGTATATTCCTTAATTAAGGGCTATTCGGCTCTCTGGGTTTAGCCCGATAGCCCCACATGGCAACAGGCATAAAAATAAACTTGTAGGCGTCAACGACAAGCTGCCTTCCAGGACTCCGTGCACAGCAAGTTCTTGAAGGCACACATCGACAAGCCTTGAGCTTGGCAAGAGTACGCAAGTCTTCACACACCAATGATTGTTCTTATTTCTTACTGATCTTCTTTGTGCCACTGGCTTTTGCTTGTTTGTACGAGGAGTGCTAGCAGTACAACTAGCACTTATCAGCGCAGCTTCCACTTGCAACGCTACTTCTACTCTGCTGCTCCCGCCGCCACTGCACCTGCTTACCTTCTTTTCAGTTTCCAGGAGTTCACGTTGGTGACGGTGGTTTTGATGGCGATGATGACATTCATGATGATCTTGAGGATGTTTGGCTGTGATGTGGTTGGACACGATGCTACTGCTGCTGCTGCTGCTGCGGATGATGATGACGATCTTCCAAACGACATGGTTTATCATCGAGATGGTGGTGGCGGCTGGATGGTCTGTAGCTTGGAAGGCTGTGCGTTACTGCTATGAGTACCAAGATTCGCGTGCTCAGCAACATTGCTGGAGTTGAAGTGAGTGCAGTTAGGGTGTGTGTGTGTGTGTGGTTCTAATTTCAGTGATTCGCCGAGGCACTCGGCAACGCTGTCTGCCAGCGTGTCGGGAATTTTGCCGGATGATCCTATTGTCGCGGGTTCCCCAGATTTGGGTACAAAACATGTTGCTGGTAGTCTCTACTCGCTTCGCAGTATCCTTGCAGAGACGCAGTCAGCGTTTCGCCTGGGTGTTGCGATGTGTATTTCAAGACGTCTGAGCCTCGGCGAATGCAGACATGGGAAGTGAACCATCGCAGAGCTCAGGAAGTGTGCAAGAAGCTTCAATGCGACGCTAGCCAGGTCGGGGCTGCCGTGTCCCAGAGCTCCCAGCAGTCGATGTAAGACTGGCAGGTGAAAGATGTTCACAAGACGACGCAGGACCAGATCGAACAGCGCGCTAAGTCGGTGCATACTCCCCGTCAGAGATGTTCAGTGTACGCGCATTTTGCGAGTATGATGTCCGCGGAATCCTCCTTCCCACCAAGCATGCAATTTGGGTTATAGTTTTGCTTATTAAATAAACAAATAAAAAAAAAATATATATATAGGCCCCTATATCATTTAACTTAGGATCCCTAGTTGGTAGATGGGCTCTGTTTCGCCCCCATAGGTTTGCAGTTTCAGCAGTTTCCGAAAAGACCGACCCCTAAACCCTAAACCCCTAGACCCCAAGCTCCAAACTGCCGGAAGCCAGGAAACCCTACCTAGGATCCAAGCACGAAAACTCGAAACCGACCTTCTTTCCCTGTCCAGGCTCAAAGAAATGCTGATCACACCAAACAGCCAATTCCGACTAGAATCCGATCGTCTCCCAACGCGACAGCGCTGCTAAAGAAACTCTCAAAGCGCCGTAGGGGTTTAGGTTTAGGGGTCTAGGGTTTAGGGGTTTAGGGTGTAGGGATCCAAGCCTAAGCCAGCAACTTCTCCAGTTATACACCCGAAACTGGCCCCAAACCCTCGACGCTTAGAAGCTCTAAAAACCCCAAAAGCTTCCAAGCTCAAAGCCCAACCAGCCCAATCTAAAAGCCCCTAAGCCCCTAAACCCTTAAGCCCTAAGCCCTGAACCCTACGGCCCCAAACCCTAAAGCCCCTAAAGCCCTAAAAACCCTTTGAGCCCTTGGAGGAGAAGGCTCTGGAGGCCTGGGAGGCGGTGAAGCTGAAGTCTTCCGAGCTGCAGCAGTCCCTTTCTCGGCGTTTCCTGCGACCAGAGAAGGTGCACATATACATAAACAAATAAATAAATAAATATATATATATATTTATTTATTTTTTGTGTCTGTAGGGATACATGCACACATTACACATGCATACATGCTTACATGTATGTATGTATGTATGTATGTATGTATGTATGTATGTATGTATGTATGTATGTATATATATAACATGTATATGTACAGGTATATATGTATATATGCATGTATACATACATATACATACATATATATATACACACATATACATGCACACGCACAAACACTCACATAAACAAGTCTTTGATTCTAATTCACCGGTAGTTTTGATTTTAAGTAGATGTTTTCTTTTTGTACTTGGATGAAGGCTTTCTGTTTTAGTACTCTCTTAAAAATGGCTTAAGGGGCATAGGATTGAGCGTTTCACGGTTGTGGGCTTGGCGTTGTGGGTGCCCAGGGTTTAAGGTGTACTTAGAGGTTCAGATATCAGCAGGGCTTGTGTACGCATGGAGCCGCAAACCCGAGAAGCCCGAGACTCGCCATCCGAAACCCATCAGGTTTGGCTGAAGGATAGCTAGGCAGAGCCATGGCTGCGCAACGTCGCGGTGGCGGATTGCTCTGGGCTGCTTTGCTGAGCGGGCTCGCCCTCAATGTGCTCGACCTAAGGACGCCTGGCTCTGAAAGCTCGTGCCAGAAACTCAACATGTAACAAGTGGGTTTCACAACCTAATACCCACCCAGCTTGGGATAGTATACTCCAGCAGCTGTCAGCAGCGAAGCCGGGTTCTGTGGAGGCTCTATCCTCTAGATATAATTAAGCAAGACTGGGCAGCAGACAGAGTAGCACTTGGCAAGTTGTGACCCGTGACAGACGCCCTGCCTTCCTGGCGGTGGAGACGCACCAGAAGCCGGTGCAATCCCGTCGCAGCTTCGCCTGGGCAGTTGGCGCTGGACTTCTTTCCGAGCCTGCGTGGGCAGAGGAGGAAGCGGCTCCGAAGAAGAAGAAGGAACGACCGCCACTCGGCTTGCCGGGTTTAGGGTTAGCAGCATTTAGGGTTCAGGGTTTTACTGTTTCAAAGTCCCATGGACGAAGACTCTGAGAACCTCCGAGGCCTGAGACGCTGATTGCCGAGGGTTTGGAGTCCAAAGCAATTCCTTTGAACGGCCGGGCGGGTCTGCTCTGCACTCTCCTTGAGGGCATCCTTCAGTTAAGAGCGATCGATGTAGGAACAGAGATTCGCAGGGCACGTCCACACTCATCAGAGAGTGCAAGCTGCAATGTTCTCATGCTACCCTGACCTGTGTTTCAGCCTCTGCCTCGGCTCTCCAGCGTTGGCATTGCTTCAGGGCGCTGGTCGATTGTCTTTGGGAAGAAGATCGCTGGAAAGACGGAGCCTGAGCTTCGTGCTTTGCCTTGGCGGGTCGTGAGCTGTGCCTTTTCAGGCCCGTCTACAAGAAGGACGGAGAATCGCTCGGGCCCCAGGATTTGCCGCGCGTCCCCTTTCTGTCCTCCCCTTCAGAGCCCCAAACCTGAGGTACTTCCTCATGACCAATGATTGCGGCCAGCTACAAATAGATACGGAAAAGAAGGCACGACCGAGCGGCGGGGATCCGAAGCTCTTCGCACATTCCAACAAAGACAACTCTTCCAACGAAAGCTGAGGTTTGTACACGGTACATAGCTACACACGTTGTCAGGGTTGATGATATTGCAGCTATTGCATGATATTGCTAGGAAGCTCTACACCAACGTGCCTTTGGATCGAGGCATCGTCAACCGTAGGCCCTAAACTCTAGACTCTTGCGGTCGCTGTGTTGTTACAATTGCTGGTGCTGTTATTGCGTGGCTTTTGCTTGTCGTCGCTGCCGCTGCTGCTGCTGCCGCTGCTGCGGCTGCTGCTGCTGCTGCTGCTGCTCTTGCTGCTGTCAATTTAGTGTTTGTTGTGATTGTTGTTGTTGTTGTTGCTGCTGCTTAATTGCTTCGTTGCAACAGTTTGGCTTTCTTGCCATTGCGGGCGCTTGCTCCCGTGTTTTTGTGCAGTTGTCGCTGGTTTTCTTCGTGTTATTCGGTGCATTTCTGTACTAATGATTACTAATCCTCGAGCCCGGGGCCGGGGATAAGGCTTCCCTACGGTTGAGGATATGAATCCTTAGCATTACCCATAAGGAGGGTTCAGGGTTTAGGGCCTAAGGGTTTACGGTACCCCATAATAAGGAAAATACCATAATTCCCATAGTGTAGGGTCCTCAAGTTAATGCAGGGTTTTTATCATCAACAGCAGGGAAGCGTTGTCATCGTTTGACGAACAAAAAGCAATCGACGAAGCCGCTAGCAGCTGAAGGTTGCATGGTCATCATGGTCATCGCGCAATTTTTGCACATCTTGCTACTACATTACTACTGTTGCTGCTGCCATTCTTGTTGACATGATGTGCTACTGGAGCCATGCATTTTACTGCACGTTTCCGCGCCAGGCTACTTGTGACGGTTCCATCGGCATCCAGAAGGACAGTTTGTGATTCGACTGTTTACGGTTTCGGTCTCCTCAACCCCCAGAGCCATTGAAAGAGTGAGCGAAGGGCCGCAGCTAAGATGCGAGATGCGGGCTGAAGATGGCTTGTAGGAGTCGGGCTGGGTCATTGATGGCAAGGCTGCCGCGAACTTCAAGGTGGGAGTACTGCAAGGTACTGCAAGGATACTCGCATGGCTCCTGTGGCCGCCTGTGGCTGCCTGCTCCCCCAGAATCCCTGAATCTAAAGACCATCGATCAGCGTCCGCCTTGCAGCAGTTTTCACCATCCACACCACAGAATGACACGGAATCCGAGAGACGCTGGGCGACAAAGCCTAAACTTTTAGGCTGGAGATCCCTAGCAGTGGACATGAAGCAAAGATACACGCCCGTTTTATGGCCAAGGAACCTGATTAAGCACCTCCTGGTTGAACAAACGCAGGAGGTAGGATCCACATCGATGCCAAAGGTTTGCAATACAACGCCTGTTGTCAGGTCCGGCCCGAGACCAAGGAGGATGCCAATAAGAGTCAGGGCATCAGCGCGGCCTCTCGGCTCTTTGCATACACTGCGGCTATGACTACCACTGCTATCATGAGTTACCACTTCCACAACTTAACTCCTGGTAGTGTAGGAACCTGATTAAGAAACCCTGGCCCTATAATCCCAAAAATATTAGGGTTCAAAAATTAAGAACCCTAATAAAGACCCAGGGTTTCTTAATCATGTTCCTACATTCGTCTCATCATCGACCGACTCTGCCCTGCGAGTCCAAGCTGAATGAAATCGTGAACGAAGACCTGGCAAAGTTTGAGAGGCAGTCCTCCGTGAATACGCTACTTGGATCGATCTTGGAAACAGTTTAACTAGTATATGGATACACAAATGGATATACATAGAATAAGCAAATGTGTGTGTACAGATCTATACTCTCTCGCACCCACAGACATTTGTATAAACATATATGCATGGTTGCCTTCTACTTGGATCTACAATTTTCCTCCTCTTGTGAAAGGCTTTGGACGCTCAAAGAGGGTCACACAGGGCTTAGGACATTCATATGAAAAAGCTGTGCTTGACCTCGCAACTGAGCCAGAAGGAACCGAACCGAACGCACCCAACCCAGCAATCTTGCCGACAAACATGGACCCTAAACCCTAAACCCTAAACCGAAGAACTGACTCGAGCACAAGGTCGCTCCAGTTTGCCACTTCGTGTCCTGAGCGCATGTGATGAATGGCCAGCATCTTGAAGCCCCCGCCCCCACCCACACCCCCACCCCCACACACACACACACACACCCACACCCAACACACACACACACACAC